GTAGTTCTCAATAACATGCTTCACACAGAAGTTAGACATTATGTAGAGCTCCAGTATTATGTGTGATATTTTTAATGTATTTTAAACCCAAATGGGACATACAGATAGATTGGACATTATCCATGTAATCTCCCTTTTCTTCTTTTCTTCTGCATCATAAGAGTAACTGACTGATAGCCAGTGTAAGAGAATATGAAAATTTGAAGTTTTGTATTGCTACTGGTAATGACTGCAAAAACTGTAGTAGTGTTTTTCCCTAGGTAATATCAACCTCGTGCAAAATGAGAGTTTCACTGTATGTTGCGCAATTATCCATTTAATAAAAAGCCAGACCCTGAGTTTAACTGAAAAACTGAAATATATGCTGGCTACTAGTGTAGACCTCCTTAAAAACCTCACTTTATTATCGATTAATTCCATCTGCCACTGTCAAAAATTGAATTCCAAATAGGTCATTAATACCCTGTTTGAACTATTTCTTTCCTTTTGACATAATTTTGTTGACACTTTTAAGACTTGTGGGCTACATCTAGGTTAGTAAATCAAACTCAACTCAACTGTTCTCTGAATGTGATCCCTGCTGTCATAGAGAGATCCACTTCCATTATGCTTCCTCAAGGTCAAAATGGGCTGGCTGCATCCTGGCTGGCTATTTGGAGTGGTCCCTGGCCCTTGCTAACCCCGGAATTGACCCAGTGATTTGTTTGAGACATTGCTACTTGGTATAGGTCAAAATTGTCAGAGGCTATTCAGAACAATGTTGCAGGATATGTATGTCTGAATTCCAGAGCTCAGTAAGCTTCCCAGGTACCATTTAGTTTACTAATGTACATAAAACCATGGTGTTATGATGTTGCTATTTGGGGCATCTGTATTTCAATTCATTCCTTCCCCAAAATGAGCATTTGCATTGTTCGAAACAGTTACACAATGTTACCTCTTGATCCTCTGCTATTCTTTCTTAATGAAAAACAGTTTGCTCACAGTTTTTCAAACACATGTACTAAGCAGAGAAACCCTTCCTCAGAATAGTGACAGTCTAATGTCTGAAGAATAACGACTGATAACAAAGGAGAGGCTCATCTTTAACTTCAAGCAACTTGCATATCAAAACTGGAAGCCTGGACAGAACAGTGGGACTCCATTAAGATTTCAATCCTCTAAAAGAATATTTGGTAATCTTACCTTATTCTGCTGATCCCTGTCTTGTTCCAAGCTTCATGAAACATTTGATTCTAATTTACTTTTTATAACAAATTACTCTGCAGAAGCACACTCACTTTATATCAATTATTTTTACTGCCATCAGGGAAAGATGTCACTTCTGGGCAGAATGAGATTTATCTGAAGATATTTTGCTGCGCTATTTGAGAGACACTGTAACAAAGTGTTGGTGCTGTTGGACTGTAGGATTCCCACTGTTTGGATAACTGGTATATTGATATGCGGAAGTGCACAGACATTGGAACGGTGTTTCCACATACTGGTTTCTCTGGTGGCATTATTTCTTCCTATATCCAAGTGGAATATTCAGCCATCTACAATGCCTTTAGTTGTTTAATATTAAGAATAATTTTAGAATAATTTTAGAAGTATTTTCTTTTATCCTATGATCTTTTGATTTACAAATATAAATTTATACACTTTATCTATGTCAATTAAGGTAGCTGCAGACAAATTGAACTGGGCAGATCAGGAAAGAAAGAAAACCCACATGATTTGCTGTTATCATAAGTAATTCATCCTCAATGCTTGGACATGGCATTTCTGGCACATGTAGAAAGACTTTCTAGATTGAGAAAAGTAAGGTAATTAGAGTTTGTCTTGTATTCCTTATCATGTAATATAAGATCTAAAATATTCATAAACCAAGTCAGAATGAATTTCTTCATGACATCTCAAGTGATTTAATAAACACTGACAACAAAAGTTGCACAGAGCTTGACGACTATAGCTTATTTTCAATGAAGTATTCAGGTTACTATCTAGTGTCTTAAACCTTCTATTCCTCTTTGCACCATATTTCTTCGCTTTCAGGCAGTGAAGGCAGCTACTCATGTCTTAACATGACATTTTTTCTCCTGGTGAGCACATTCCCATGAGTTTAAAGTCAAAACATTTCACTGTTTTGGTTTCCATCAGCTGTAAGTTGTTGTCAGATAGCTGTTTACAACATCACATGTGAAGGAGGTATATGTAGCACAACTGCATGGACAGATTAGACATAGAAAAGTATGCACATTTTCATGTCTGCAATTACATCTTTTGGATCAGTCAGACCCTAATAAAAAAAAATCAAGTCAAATAAACCTTTTCACCTTACCTCATATTAGAAAAATAAAGTCTACATTTGAAATGAGAAGCAAATAAATATGCAGACACTAAATTTCAGTGCTCTTCTGTGGCTGCATTTTTAAAGCAGCAACATAACCTGATTGTCCACTGGGATCATTAAAAACATCCTGCCTTCCTCTCGTTTACATCATAGATATGTGTTCAACTGGTCACTGCTGGAGTCAGAATAGTAGACACCATTAACCCAAATGGTCTGATCTGCTGAGATCAGATTCCTGATTTCTATTTATGAGTTCTCTGTACTGCAGAAAACCACTTGTGCTTTATAACTTACAGAGGAAAGAAAAAGGAAGAGAAAAGAAATTTTACTTAGGATATCCTCTTTAACATATTTCATCAAAAAATGGATAACATATTTATTCAGCTACTGTCCTTTGCATTCCCGTCAAAGTGAATAGAGAGACATTTAATAACACATGGAAGCATTAAAGAAGCTTTTTATCAGAGTGGATGGAAACCTGCTCCGAACAAACATTCTGGCCTAAGGGAAAGTTTTTGATCTGTGAAGCTTAAGCTTTTGGTGCTTAAAACACTCTCTTATTGGATCATGTGGTCAATTTGCATGAAATAAATTATTTGCTTAAAACTTGTAAAACTATAAAATAGAACTTGACAAGTCATTAGCAATAAGTGATATCGCACTGGCATCATACTAACTAACACTGGTGCAATTATTACAAAATTGTTGCTACAGCAAAGAACAGGAAGATAATGGGGCCAGCCTGTGCTTTGACCTAAAAGTGTTAGATCATTGCCCCACACAGCAAATACAACACTGCACTCCAAATTATTGACTATCCTTCATTACTGATATATTCAACATTCTGAGCCATGGCTTTTTATCATCTTTCACACAAAACAATTAGTCCAAGTTATGAAATTTGACACTTTTTCCTTCTAGGGTTAGGTGATCTCCTTTAGACAAAAAACAAAGAAAAGAAAATAAATAACTAAATTATAGTCTAGGACTAAGAATTTAATCAAAACTAGCAGAAAAAATAAGATTATTTACCTGTTTTCCTTAATTTTTATATTATTTTTGTTTTCGTTCTGAACTAGGAATTCAACTAATGAAGTTTATGTATGTCGACTGAGGTTGTGGATACAACTTTTCTGTTCTGGTTGGCAACAAATGTTATTCAGTATCTCATTGGCTCAGTTTGCAATACAAAGATGATTTTTTTTTTTTAAGACATAAAGTGTTTGGAAAATCATTGCTAGACATCTGGATTCCTGAAGTTTTCCTACCATTTCTTTTAAGGCTAGAGTCATTCTGTGATGAGATTGGTAAATATCCACTTGTGATTATTGTCTAGATAGGAAATATGTGTAAAACCTAAGATTTTTACCCTTTGTTGCACGGGGCCTTCAATGCATTGATTTTGTCAATGTGTCAATATTATGCCAGTGGCTCAGACATGTGAGTCAAGTTTGAGGAGCTCCGTGAGTGACATTTCATTAAAATTATTGGATATACCAAAGTATGTGCTTCCAAATTATTTGCCTGCAATCATACATATGCTGATGAGATGTAATAACATTAAGACCATGACGCTCAAGTCCCACTGCTGTCTTCAAGACGATGTTTTGCTCATGCACTTCCCATGAGTATATGTATCTTTGTAAAATGAGAGGAGTAAGTATGATACTGCAGTTTCCAAGGCTCCTTAAGGTCTTAATTTCTCTTCTGAGTCTATCACCAAGCATGAGGCATGGCTTTAAGTTTCTGAGATTTAACAACCTGATTGCATGTGAACTCTGGTGTAGTGAACGTATGCTGGTGCATATGACTAAATGGTTATTATATTTAACTACTTAATTTTATTTCACAGGTCACAACAGATTATGCTTTCCAAATGACAATGACATGATAGCTACTGAGCATAAATGTCAGAGAAAGAAATTAAAAGGAAATAAGGAGACTGCAAACAGGTGTTATAAACCAGAAAGAACCATAAATAATACAAGAGTGCAATAGATCTGTTTGTGAATCTTTGGGGAAATGAAATGAAAATTGTTTTGGATAAAGCATAGTATCTGCACATAGGCTAAGACAGTACAGAAAGTCCCAGCTCAATGCCGTGAGACAGTACAGTTCAACACTCAGAGAGTACAGGTGTTTCAGTCAGCAGCTGGAATCAGAATCTCGTCAGTGTTTATAGTGCATGACCTGGTTGGTATTGGCTAATTAAGAATAATCCTTAAGGATGAGAAGCATAATAATTTTTTGCTGATGTTTCAAAGAAGTTCATAATAAGTGGACTTGGGAGAACAACTGAAGATCATTTGTTTGACAGAAGAAAATAAGCTTTTACTGTAGAAGAGGCATCATGAATATGCAACCTTATTTTCACAGTATTATTCTTCAGAGTTTTTTAGTCTAATGAAGAAAAATAGAACTGTAAGGCTCTCAGCATATATCTGAGTCACTTGGACTTCAATGATTTAAAACGTGTCTCTTCAAATAAATTATTTGTTGAGAAATATGTTGCCTTCCTATAGTGGCTGGAAGATAATAACTTTTATGCAGAGTGTAATATTTTAAACATGAACAATTCTGAAGGGAGCTCAACCTCGCAGTGAATCTGCTCCACCTGTCAGTGAATACATTTTCTATGCTTCTTAACGTGTATACTTATGTGCAGGACATAAGGAAATGGTACCACCTCGTCTTCTTCTAGAACATAGTCCAAGAAAGAAACCAACAGCTATTGAAGGCAAGTTTGATTTTTTTCCTCCTTTATTGGCTTCCACTCATTAACTTGACTCTCTGTTCTACTGGATTTTGTTGATAAATATAACCTATACTACAAAACTGATCAGATGATTAGGCCTGGGACATGAATGGCACAATCATATTTGCATGACAAGACCTAAATATTTCTTATAGTAATCCCACAGATGGCTTGGGAGGTTTCCTGAGTGAAATAGATTACAGGATCAAGGCCCAGTCTGTAAAATGCTTTGGACAGTGTTCAGCCATAGGTTGCCATCTAACTGTAAACATAATCAACGTTATCCTCTTAATATACTTTGGATTACTCTTATTACTACTGTTATTCAGTAATGTTTCTGTGTATTATCTGCAATAATGAACATAGTATTTCTGGCTCTGCTTTTATCAACCTTGTTCCCATTGTTAAAAGCACTGAAAGAAAAATACCAAGTCAGACCTTACCTTCAGAAGATTAAAACATAACCCTTGCCATTGAATTCTATTGTTTACAGTCTAATCATATCAGTAAAATGATTGAAATATGCACTTTAATTTAAAAATATGCTGTGTCCAATGACTTAAAACTACTACTGCAATATACCTTCTTGGTCTATATAACATAATTTACTGGTACAAAATACGCAAGTCTTTTCGTGTAATTATATAGCAATTTTCGTATAATACTTCCAAATCATTCAACCACACCGTGGCACTTACTAATCTCTCTCATAGAGGTCATAGTTCTATGTTATCCAGAAAGCACTTGCAATCTAGGAGAAAAACAGATGGGATGGCAGCATAAGAAGTAAGAAGAGCTACAAAATTTGCCTGCATTTGGAAACAGGAAAAAGAGGGTTAGCTTTTGGCAGAACCTATGACTAAAAGAGTTAAATTAATTAGATATTTCTGTAATGTGATTATTGTGAATCAGAACATTTGGATAAAAATAGTTATGTGACCAATTATTTATTTCCCCCAAATCTCTTTTACCTTGAATATTTCTTTATAAACACACTGTTTAAAGGAACATAAAACTGTGGTTATTGTGGCACAATATAGTATATAAATAGATTTGCAGTCTTGCTTATTTTAGGGAAATGTTTGAACCCTGCTTATCAGCAAAACGAAGTCCCTGCAATGTTAAACACTGTTATCCACCAATTAACCATAATGGAAGAAAGACATAATAGAAAAACACTGCTGCATTTGCTGAGTGATAATCTTTAAATATAACTGTTATACAACATGAACTAGCATCAAATTAACATTAAGTTCTTGATTTTCAAAATCATTAAGAGCATGCAATTACAGCAATTGCACATGGAAATGACTATTTATGACCAGTTACACATTTGTGTGTTTCATTAGCTCATTTATGCATGCAATTGAGATAATTGTGAAATTATCTCCTCAGTATCATACAACTAAATTCCCTTTAAGGCTCAAGGACAATCACTAGGATACAATACTGCTCATGCAAGAGCTTGGAGGAAATGAAGAACGAAGAATTACTTGCAAAATGCTGCTGTGAAAGGCTGTTGTATTGCACTATAGTGTGGTTTCTACATACGAGAAAATATTCCACGATGCCTTTAGGAACCCTAAACCTTGAAGCTTTCTTTCAGCCCTGGGGAAAATAATTAACTTATGGGAATATTCGGCACAATGTCAGAAGGGAAAAAAAGGAGTAGTCAGAGAAATTTAAATCTCTGAAATAGCTGAAGAGACATCTGTCTGTGACTTCATAATGCTTACATACCTTTACGACTGGTACATCATTAAATATCCCTGACCTGGTGAAGAGACAGATTGAAAACAAAATATATTCTTCTTATCTTAAATATAGTTGAAGGTAATATAAGTTTTCAAAAGAAGGAACAAGTACAAGCATGTCTTAATTGAGAAATGTACTTTATATAACACGGAAGAACAGGTCCAACCTTTGACAGAAGCAACCAGCTCTGAAAAAAGGTAAAACCACAGGAAGTAACAGAACAGTTGTCACACCGAAAATTTATGAAACCAATCTATTTAGACCCTAGGCTTTGCAGCTCAGTGATATTCAGACACTAGATACAAAACCATGCAGCTAGTAAAGCCTGAAAAGATTTTACTCTTTTTCTGGATTGTGATGTTTTTACTATTGCCCTGTTATGCCACTGCCTTCTTAGGTAATCTTTGACCGTTCTTGATCTCTAATGAAGTGGAAATAGTGGTAGCATATGTGCCAGATGTCTATAACATTTTTAGATTATTTGATACTTTCAAATAGGAACACTTTCCTGGATAGTATTCAACGCCCCATAGAAACTATGTTTGCTGAATTTGTGAGGGGTTAGAAAATCAACATACTTTTATAATGTATTAAAGCTCAACCCTTCTCTCCTTGTCATTGCCATCTTCTCTTCCTTCACCCCTACAGTAAATGTTTTGGAAAAGGGATGATTATGTAAGACAATCCCAATCTGTACACTGTATTCTAACAGTATGCAATAAATTACATTGAAGTGAGTGTATGTGAAATGAACTTTTCAGATATCTCTTGGTTGGAAAGCAAAATGCTTAGTATTCTTCTGGTCAAAAGGGAAAAGGACAGATCTTTGCTCTCCTGTTTCATGGTGGTTTGGCTCTTTCCAAAAAGCACTGCTCTCTCGAGATGTTACACTCAAAGTTCAACGAAGAGTTTGAAGTTTCAGGTCACCAACAGAAGAGAATAACAAAACAAAACAAAAGATCCTGTAACAATAAACAAGAGAAAGAGGGAAAGGTAATTTGTGAAGAGAAAGACACTGATAGATAACTTCTACTCGTGTTGCAAGCTTGGAAACCTTGTTTGGAAAACCACGAAGTAAAATAACTCATTTTAAACTCTTTATCTTATCTGTTTCTGGGGCTTTCACAAGGGCTTAGAAGTAGCGCTCTCAGCTTGGCTGACACTCTGATGCTACCATCTAGGGAGGGTGGTGGTGCTGGCTGTAATTCGAACAGATCTGTTCTCCATGGCTAACTGAACTTTGACTTTCACATGCTTCTCCTTGACTGTAGTCTTCTCCTCCTCTTTTAACTCTAGCTTTCTGATATTTGTTATCCACTGACATCCTAAAAATGCTCTGCAGTGTACATTGATTCTCTGTGAACCTCTTTCTCAGGTCTTGACTTTTTTTCTCATCTCACACACCTTTTAGCTTTCTCCATTTCCCCTCTCATCTGAGAGGGAGTCTCCTCTCTGACAGTCCTCCCATGTTATGCTCTCTGTCATAGCAGGGTAATTTCTCAGGAAGATGCTGCTGCTGGACAAGAAATGTCGAAACTAGGCTCAGAGGCTTAGTTAGTTATTAGTAAAGTTTTTTATTAATTGTTCCAGAATAACACGTCTTTGCTTTCTCACAAGATCATAAAATCTTTGTGAGAAGCCTGTATCAAATCCTTCTCTCAGTGGAAGGCATCTTAATGCATATCACATATGATCTCAAACAGACAGTATGCTTTGTAGCACTTTAAAGAGCATTGTGTCACAAAAATCTCTGAACAGCGTTGTATCTGAGAATGATTATCCAGGTTATATTGCCCTAGAAATCTGTGCTTGTATATTTGAGTGGGAGAGCATTTATCAAAGAAGAGTCATCAACGTAACCGTTCTGATCTGTTAACGGATCGTGACGGGCTCTGAAATTTCCCCCGCCTTTGACTGAAGTATACTGGTTGTTGTTTTCCATCTCGCCGGTGTTTGTGGTATTAAATGAGGTAAAAAAGAAAAATTTAAAATCTCTGTAACGTCTTTGGAGGATCTCTGAGGAAAAAAATATTTTCTGTAGATCACTGTTTGAATCCTCTAATTACAGATTTTGCATAATACAGTACAGTGAGTTCCTGTGAAAAACAGTTAACTTCCCCCAAAACCCTTGCGGAGGCTAAATTGACATTGAAATAGAAATCTGCATCTATCTTTGCTGCTGTGTAGAATGTACACTATCTGACTATCTTAAGAACTTCTAGTCTATAGCTCAGTTTATGAATATAACATTAGGGGATATAACCAAGAGTATCTAAATTACTAAAGCCAGTATAAATTTTGACAAAGTTCCCTTGATGTATAGAAGTGTAGAAATCTTGCACAAATTAATCTGCTGTTGTACTGTCTGTCAATGTCCACCTTCTCTTCTGTACACAGATTGTTCTATAAAAAACTTCTTTTCTATTGTACTGCAAAATCACTTACCCTTAAAAAAAATCCTTCTAGTGAAAAACTGCAATTCAAGATACCACAGAAACCTTTCAAAAATGAAGAATTTTGAAATTTTCTCCCCATTTAGAACACTTTTAATAATACTGACATGATTTGTGGATGAAAATTCATTTTCTGATAAATTTTATTTCAAGGGAGAATAAAAAAACAAAAATGTTTCTTTCAGAAATATCATAATACAGTGGGCTAGGTTTAATCTGGTTTATTAGAAGAAACAGTTTAAGTAGATTTACCAGAGTACTGTATATACAGCATAAAATTTTTTTTGAGAAATATGGGCCCTACATCTCCATGAGTCTGTACTGAGGACAGTAAAGCCTTTGTAATAATATGCAAAAGTTTTTAAAGTGAGTTATTTAATGATTTAGATTAGACGTTTAAGCAGTAATCTCTAATGATTTAACTACAATGAAAAAAGCCTAAACTTTCACTGTTTCAGAAAGCCCTTGACATTTTACTTAATGACATAAGGCTCTTCTGTACTACTTTTATTCTAGTGTAAGACATAAAAAATTACACAGACTTTGGGAAAAATACTTACTAGAATGCTGAAAAAATATGTACAAAAATACATGTATTTTGATTAGACATATTACTATGTTTTCTCATTATTTTTATTATTAATAATCCAATTTGCAATACTAGATTATGCATTTAAAATATTCACCAAAAACTACCCAATAAAAGAAAAGCAAATAATTCTGAAGATTATTTTAAATTTTTAAACTGCTTTTTAATTGTTATGGAAAAGAAAT